TTACTGGAAGAACCTAACAACGCACCCATGTGGTAAGCTAATCTTAATGTCAATAACCAATCAGTGACCTTCTTTATTACTTAACAGTCATGCGCAGAAGCATTGCTACTCAGAGTAGCAAGTAAGAAATGAGAAAAGTCGTTTTTTTTGTTGGCTTTTTTCGCGTCTTGTGGGTGGAAAAATTATTAGAAATGAAGTCATCATAGTCCACAAATTAGTGCCATTTATGATAGATTTTCGGGATTTTTGATTAAACAGGAACAGCTAGGCTGCTTTTAGGGTATAGTTGTGTCGAATCGTCAGAGCGGTTGAGCCGGAGTTGTTGGGAAAAAAAATCGTGTAGAGCAGCCAAAAAACGCATCTCCAACGATCTCCAACCTTAACTGTGCGCCTTTCCCGCCTTTTTTCGTTAAAATCTGCGAGTAGACTGGAATCTAATGCTGAGCGACCTTGCTCAAGTAATTTGCTTTTTGCTCAAGTAATTGCCCAAGTTTGCCCAAGTATTTGCTGAAGCGCTTTCCAAAATGGCGGCCCGGTGACTCTATTTATAATTTTGACTTTCGAAGGAAATGGGACCATGTTTCGGGGAATTTCCTCTGTAGGTATGTGCAAAACTATCTGTTTTTACGTGTTATTTATATTGAGACCAGAAAAATACACCTTTTCTAAATTCAGAAAGTATTCGAGGCAAGGAACGTGACTTGCTCGAACCTGACAACACAGTGCCTTCTTACCGCAATGAGACGACCTCGCAGCTCGAGCGCTCAAAATAGACTGACCTGTCGCGCTTCACTCAGCAAAGACGTTGATTGATCACCTCAAATGAAAAAAAAAAAAATGTGTCAACAGTGCACTCAATATCACTGTCTCTCTTCATCTCTCGGCTCCCGCAGCTGGAGAGGCTAAGTCAAAAACAGTTGTTACTCGTTCGGGTTACTATAAAAAAGTGAGTTTTATAATAATAACAGCAACAATAATAATAAACTTATAAACTCATACCCAGATTTCCCCTTGCCTGAGGGATGGAAAAAGAGCCTACCCAAAGAAGATCACATCTGGGTTTCCAAGGCACTTTTTAAACAGTCTACCATTAAAGACAAAGCAGCGCTTGACATGTCAAAGCTAAACAAGCTTTGGTGGTATCGACCCCAGCCGTCGTTAAGAGTGCATCAGCGTCCCACTGTAAACATGTACTTTACACGGTGCCTCCTACTTTGGATGCCAAGGAAACTATCGCAAACGAGGTTGCATTGTCCACGTAATGATTTTGACACGCACCTTCTTGCGGGCCTGTATCCACATGTTAGACAGGTGCTTGACCTGGATGGCTACTACTCCTTGGTAACCGAGCATCTTGAGTGTGGGAATTGCAAGAGGAAAGTTATTAGCTGGAGTCAGGGTTTCCTTGATCAGTTAGATGTGGGTCACAGGAAGCAGTTTTCTATCATCATCACCTACAACTATGCCTGTGACATGATAGTAGTGAGATTGCTAAAACAACATGGTTTCAGAAATAGCTCAACTCAGTTGCAGAAGAAGCTGACGGAACAACATAAAGAACAATGGCTACAATATACTGCCCATTATTGAGCTATTTTTTCAAAATAGCTCATATGTCAGTGGTGTGAGCGTATGTATCTTTGTGGCTTTGTATCTTTGTAACTTTGTATCTTTGTATCTTTGTATGTTCAGATGTTTGTTGCAAGAGCTAATAAGGTTGAAGGTACTATGAGTTGATGCTTAGGAACCAATGAGATCTTGGCATCTACTTAAACATGACATTGCTAAAGGTCGAACAAGGGCACTTTGAGACCGCCATCTTGATTCTTCACAATTTTTTCGTCTTTTATTATGGCTACAGGTGTTTGGAAACATTATATTAAATATCTTCATGATTCAAACGCTATGTACAGTGATGCAGCTGTTTAAGGGTTCATAATTGTGTTGATGCTATTTTAAGACATTTCTGACCGAATCTGGCTATCGCGAACGGTACTGACGCACGTATTTATGAGTTGTGTTTCACCTGCTTCAAGGTAGAGTATAAAAGATCATATATTTTCAAAGCTCTTCCAGTGAAGCAATAATTGATACTTAGATATGGATTTTAATTTGAAAGTATGCGACCTATAAAATGTGGTTTTACAAGTTTGAAAGGCAGCTTATTTTTTTAAAGCTGTACCAAGTATTGTTAATCCTGTAAACAAGCTTTAAAAATACTATTCTCTCGCTTACAAAGTTCAACAGACCTTTTTAGTTCTGGCAAAACAAAAAAAAATAATAAGTGAACAACATGATACATCCTTCCTGCATACTAAGCATTGTAGTCATTGAAAAGTATTTTATTTAGTAAAGATGAGTAACTTAGTAAAAAACAGTAGCGTTAGGGAATAAAATTGGAAGAAGCCAGCTGATTACATACTGTTTTATTGAGTGGAGCAACATGATATGAGCACAAATATATTTCGGCAGTTTGATAATTTTCTTGGAAGTTAATAAATGTTAGGCTATCAACCTTGACGTTGCATGAAACATAATTTAATTGCAGATGTTGTAATGAAGCCGAGGTGATTTCTTAAAAATCGTTGAGAAAATTTTGTAGTAAACAATTTGCGTTTTTTATGTACGAATTGTAAAAGGGCCAAAGGCCAACATCTTCACGTGCAATTTGTGTGCATGAGTTATTTTTATATTTCTGTTTACTAGATTACCGTGTGATAACTCGAATTCCCACACGTACAAACCACGAAAGGGGGCAAAGTCCAACACTTTCATGTGCCAATTGTGTGACTGTACATCTCATGCAGATTGGCTTTTCACAATAATAATAGTAACTTGAACATTTGAAGACCTGTTTTGTTTTGTAACCAATGCCTGAAAAAAGGCTCTTGTCTTTTAAGAAACAATAGCTTTCAAAACATGAAGAAATAAGTTCTCAGAGTTAAGGACTGTTTCACTGAGTAGAATCGCATGTGAAAACCTCGTGAATTGTGATGATGCAACCATCTACCACAATGATAAGAATCTTGGTATTTCTTAACTACTCGAATTCGATGAGTCACGTTTTGGCTTAAGAAACTCTGAGGAAACCTTAGAGTTTTCCTTCGAATCAACATTTGGTGAGTAGATATTTATTTTACTTTAATAATTTGTTTAACTTGCACCAAATGTAACAGGGAAAGACAGAGGAAAGTGAATATATAGCATGAGGATCGACGCAGCTGAGCGTTTCACGTTTTCATTTATGTACGGCAATACCTAATTCTGCACAAAAACCCAGTCTACATTTAGGACAAAAAAGGTAGATTCATCACTCTTGGTAAGGTTACACTGAAACATTAAAGTTACACTGAAGCATTCAAAATAGCTCATGCACGTTTAACGTGCCTATGTTTTGACAGGTTGTCAGACATTCATGGAGGCTAGCAAACAACAACTGGTTCTGGCCCCAAAGTTTGATGAGGGACCATCTCTTCCTACCCTTCCAAAAGCAGGCTGCCTTCTTACAGTTTACTGCAGGGAGGTGCAGTCACGGCTTGAGGATGTGACGGCTTATATCACGTCAACATTTGGCAGTGTACTGAAGATTGATTCCACAAAGAAGGTAAAATATTATAAACAGGTAAAGTTTATATCCATAGTAATCTTTTGTTTGTAAAGGAAACACCGACACATCAGGAATAAGACAAATCAAGTACCCCAGATAGTACATTACACCCCCCCTTCCCCAACCGCCCAGCTCAAAAATATTTCTTTTGTTACTCACGCAATTGTTATAATTACTGTATCTGTTATTTTTTTCAACTTTGTAGTAGGTTACTAAAAAGCTTGCTGGTGCTGCTGCTGGAACAGCTGCTTGGGTCACCAACACTGGAAATGAATTTGGCCAAGTTCTTAACAGCACCTTAACAGCAAGTGAGAGAAGTGGGCTCCGCCCCATGGCAACTTTGTAGTAGGTTACTAAAAAGCTTGCTGGTGCTGCTGCTGGAACAGCTGCTTGGGTCACCAACATTGGAAATGAATTTGGCCAAGTTCTTAACAGCACCTTAATAGCAAGTGAGAGAAGTGGGCTCCGCCCCATGGCAACTGGGATCATTCGTCGCTATGAGATGGTTGGCATTCCCCTGTCAGTACTTCTATATACAGATCATGACTGCTGTGGTGAGAAAAAGGTCAGCTCTCTCTTCACAACCTGGCAGGAACTCAATGTGTGCCTTGATGCATGGCACTTCATGCAACGTTTTGCAGCAGGGTGCACTACAGATTCACATCCACTCTATGGTACCTTTATGGCTCGACTGTCACAGTACATTTTTGAGTGGAGTGGTGAGGATCTCAACCTTCTGAAAAGAGCCAAGGCTGCCCAACTTGTTAAGTCGAGTGTCCAAAACCTATCGGATGAGGATATCATGAAACATATCACAAAAAAGGAGCTGTCCCTCCACGTCAGGCGTAAAACACGCAGAATACAAGTGACCACCATCCTCATTTCCAAGTTGCTTGAGGCATTCTCTGGGTCACAAGAGAATGAAACCTTAGGTGTGCCACTGCTTGACTGTGACCACAAATGGACCATATGGGAGTTGCGGCAGAAGCACATTGCATGCATTCAAGATCCAGAGGGTGTTCAGCTGTACACGAAAACTGGCGCCACAGTGAAGGGTGGTATAGAGCTTCCAGTCTATCGCTGCTCCAGAGGCTCAATATCACTGTAGTCCTTTCACAACCATCTTGACTTCTTTATCCCTAGTATGTGATTTGTTTATTTTTCTATGAAAGTAGAGATTATTACTTTTAAACATGCATTTAAAAATCATAATAACAAATATACCTAAAACATAATAATCACTATATTAATAAATCAGTCATAATAAAAAGTTGACAGAAAAACGATTATATGCACAGAATATTCCCCTTATTTATTTGTTGTTTTTATTATCAATATTAAAATTTGCTAATGTAATTAATACCTATATTATACTTCTATTTTCTTCAATTAAGGTACTAGTGCAAATGATCTGCACTTTCATGCCTTCTTGCTGGAAGGTGTGGCAAGATGGAACCGAGACAGAGAAGTGGCAGCAGTTACGGAAGCTAATTCAGCCCTCACATATGACTCTGCACTGACTTCTGCTGTGAATAAACTAAGTGAAAATGTGCTAGGGAAAAAGCCGTTTGGAAACTTCAGAGGACCAAATAAGTATACAGGTAATTGCAAAATATTCCATTTATTTTTTTACTGTGAGATTCCCAATAATATTCACATCCCAGGACAAGTTATTGGAATTTACAAGAGGAAGGGAGTGTTAAAGGTCAAAGTGTCTTATTTATATTAAAAATTATCACATATTCAAATTATTTAAGTTAATATAAAAGTTTATATCTACGTATTATATATGGTTTTTCCCCACAGGAGAGCTTACAGGTGTGGAGTACTTGTATGCTCAGACTGGTCAAGTGCTACAGAGAGCCAGCTCTGACAAGGACAATGAAACATCTCTGCAGGTTCCAGATGGGGATTATGAAGATGAAGGGTTTCAGGTTAGTATTATTACATACCACTTGAATACACTAAGGAATGTTACACCACACCTTATTTAATCCATAAATCAGACATAAGCTCTAATAAAAGTGAAAATAGAAAATAATAAAAAAATTAATACATGATACTTATCTACCTGCTCAGACTAGTTGTTCATTAAGAATTGCCCTAAATTCCTTACAGTGGAATCACCGAATTCGAAACCTGAGAAGCTAAATGATTGATCTATCCAATCACAATTAGGGGCTTTGAATTGACTAAAGTGTTATCCGCTGGGTCTACAGGATGTGACCACAGACTCTGAAGATCCTACTGTGGCCTACACTGGTAACCACCCTGTTCCTGAAACTGTTACAGAGCCAACAGGAGATTCTGGAGAGGACGATTCTGTGGGCCCAAGGAACATCCCTGGCTATGACAGGGTAACTGCATTAGCCGACTTTCTTGTAAACTTGAGGGATTGCAATGGAGCTCTATCAAACCAAGAAGCTTCTCAGCTGGTGGCACTTTGGAAGAACATGAGCGAGTATGACAGAAAACCCATTACCTTTAATCCACGACACCAGCCACAACTCACACAGGGGAGGTTTAAAGCTGCTAAGAAATCCACAGTAGTTCCTGGTGCAAGTAGCACAAAGAGATGTTTCTTGGGGCAGAACAGTGGACCAGCTTCATGGCCTGACTGCAACCGATACATGGAAGCAGTGATTATAAAGCTTACCCACATTTTCCCCTCACCAGTACGAAGAGGTGGCAACACGACATTGCGGTGGACACTGATTGGAAATGCATACAAGAAAATCAGAGAAGCTGTCCTTAATAATGCATACGTAATGCAGCAGACTGGCATTCAACTTGCTGAAATAAACCAAAGGACGTTGATTCAGTGGTAAGTTACAATAACAAACCTTGAAGACGTTTATTCCCTTATATGAACAATTTAAAGAAAACATAATCTTATGGAAAAAAAATGATTCAATCAGAATTCATCAGAACACAATCGAAAATAAGTACTTCATTTTTCAGTCTGGGAGGTTCTAATTGAGTTCTTGAGGTCAGTATTCCTGATTGCCTTTCAGGTACAACAAGCGTTCAAGAAAACAGGAGGAGGACGTCCTCAAACAAGGTATTAATCTACCTGCTCCAGTGGCATCCACGAATACTACATTGCCACAGCCGAGAGAGCGTCCAGAGTCCCTTAACACAGGTGTCAACCAAGAGAAACATACCTTTGATCTGCCAGTCAACACAGCAGGCCAAGCATCTGTAAGAAGGGTAATCAGGCCGTCAGTATTGCCCAAATTACCTCAGTTGCCTTCAGCAAATGTGATGGTCGTGAGCCCCTCCGGGCCTGTAACCGCAACCCCTGTTGCAATTGCAGTACCTGCAGTACCAATTCCTGCTAGCACCCAAAGTTACAGGAAGAGAAAAGAGGAGGAGGCAAAAGCATCTGCAGTGCCACTAAAAAAGTACAGGCCAAGAACTGGGGCCTCTCAATGTTCAAAATGTCAGAAGGATAGAACATCTGCCACAGGACACCATCAGTACTTTGGTAACTGGTTTTGCCCCCAAACTGCAACAGAAACCTACGAGGGTTGGAGAGCTCGCTTACAAACAGAAAAAGAATATAAAAAGAAAACATAAGCAATCAATAGTTATGTTCAAACTACCATTAGCCGATTTCTAAAGACACGGCTCACCATTCAATAGATTGTAATTAAAACCCTGCCAAGGTTACCGTTATTGATCAGCATTGAATCAAATGTAAAAATATGTGATTTTATATTTACACCTTACAATATCAAAATATTCTTACTTAACACAATTGTTTTGATAGTGCCGTCGTTTGCAAGAGTGATTATTTCGTTGTATAGTTACACCTCAATTTTTTCAGTGTGTTGTCCTTTTACTTGTGTACAGGACAGCTGCAAGATGACATCGTTTGAATACAGCTACCAGAATTCTAGACTTTCTAAATGCCAAGCACAATCATTCAGCTTGTTATGTTATTGTGTTAATTGATTCTTTTGATTCTTTGACCTTAGTAGCATTACTACATTAAAGTAAGAAAGAAAAAAAAAAGGAATTCTGATAGCTAGAATCAAACGACGTCAACGGCGTGAAATTAGCCTACTAGTGATAAGTGAGCTTCTCTGTAGAGAATGTAAGTATTTTTGAATAATATTGTTCAATTTTTGTCTCTAGAACAATCTAGCAAATATACAGTTATTTTTTCAGTGTTACTGTGGTTTGGAGGTGTCTTTGTTCATTATAACCTTCGCAGACTCTAAGCAAATCTTGTTGAACGGCTTAATATAAGGAATCCCCTCCGCCTTTGTAGAAATTTCATGCCCAGTCTCTTTTGTAGCTGAGATATTCCAGGAATGCACAGGGAATCCCCACTACCAGCAACTACCAACAGAGAAGATCGCGTGGGATTTTTTGCGACTAAACATTGCTTATCTTCGGTGCTTACGTTATTCAATCAAATCGCTTGCAGTTCCAAATTTGTTCCAAATTCGTTCCAAATTCGTTCCAAATTGGACTTCCATATTTGGAAAATCGATTGCGTGCTGTTTACAGCCTTCTGCCATGTTGGATTTTTGTAGCTTGTGAGTTTGAAATAGAGCGAGAAAGTGACGTAGTTATACTGTATTTTTCTTGCTGATCTGTTAGTCCTGTTTAGATCACCTGTTTTCCTAGCCAGATCCGAGTTTAGTTAGTTCATTCGCTGATATTTTCCCCGGGGAATTCGGAGGCTTTCTAGACCGTGTTCATGAATAAGTTATCGTTCTGCCCCATTGCTCGTGGTATCGACACTGTATCGAAGGTTGAGAAATAACACATTTAAGGTAGGTTTTTGAGCTTTTTACCTGTATTACAGAAGCAATAAACATTAGTTTAAGTAGTGAAAATCGATTCAAGGAAATCGTTGCAGTTATAGTTTCTATATTGAAGAATTTTCTTGCTTCACCCACATAAATAATTCATTCAGTTATTCTGCTCTGTTGATTTACAGGATTTATAGAGGTCATCATAAAGTCATTTTTACAAGACGTTTTTCGTGCTGTAACGCCAATTTTGGTAGGAATATTTTATATGTTTTGCATTAAGCCAAATGTGCCGGTCAGGACAGTCAAAGACAGCTCTGCAAAATATTTGTCTGAAAAGTATATGTGATTCTTTGTGCATGTTGTGTGACCTCTGCTGAAGTGTTGTACTTGTTTGTTCTTGTGTGGGTGCAATTACTAAAAAAGTAAAAACAAATTCCTGTGGTGTAATGGTTTCATACTGGACAGCTTTTGTTCAGAAATTCAGGTTCAACTCCTGATAGGTCTCTTATATATTACACCTATAGGTCTCTTATATATTGAAATAGTGTAACCATTTCAGGCCTCACCCATAGAACAGACGAGCCAAGCATGGGGGACAAAGTAACCGAAACGAACAGGATTATCAAGTCATTTGTAAGTGGCCGTGACTTAAGTTTTATTGACAACAGCAAAATAGGAAGCAGCATGCTGAACAGTAGTGGCCTGCACCTAAATCAGAAAGGTAGCGCAGCACTTGCTAAAAATATTTTGAATCATATTAGTAATTGTTATTGATTTAAAGAAGTCAACAGTTTTTTGCCTGAATGTGAACCAAATTGTTCTGATGATATGACCTCTGCCTTGAAAGTAAGGGGCTTCAAAATTGCGAGTATTAATGTTGCTAGTCTCCCGCTGCATATTGAAGAGCTTTGACTAATTATGGCTGATCAGTGTCTTGATCTGCTAGCTGTTAATGAGACTAGACTCGATTCTACAATAACTGACAACTTGGTTCATATTGATGGCTATTCAATCCTAAGAAAGGATCGAAACCGTAATGGCGGCGGCGTGTGCATTTATCTTCGATCGAATATTAATTATTGCCTTAGAAATGAAATAATTCCCAATAACGAGTTTGAAATGTTAAGTGTTGATATTAAAAAGCCTAATAGTAAAGCTTTTAACGTAACTGCGGCCTACAGGCCCCCTAGCTGTACGGTTGGCTTCTTTGAAGCTTTAGAAGCTATTGTTCGCAATATTGACATGGAATCTAAGGAACAAATTATCTTAGGCGATTTAAATTGCAATTATCTATCGGATAGAAATAACATGCACCTGTCTCAGTTGAAGCAATTAAGTTTGACCTATCAGTTTCAACAACTAATCAATGAACCTACTAGAATCACGCCAAATTCTGGTACACTTATTGATATAATTTTATCAAATGAACCCTCAAGGATTTTAAAATCAGGAGTGGTGCATAAGGGATTAAGTGACCATAGTATGGTCTATGCAGTACGTAAGTTTGCTATTTCATCTAAAAACACTCATAAGCATGTGACCACTCGTTCTTTTAAAAACTTTAATGCAAGTGCTTTCAGAGAAGACCTAAAGTCAGCGCCCTGGGATAGCCTAAGAAACTGCACTACTCCCGATGAAATGGTTGAAATCTGGGAAAATATGTTTTTAAAAATAGCTGACGTTCATGCGCCCATAAGAACGCGGCGAGTAAGAAATAAAAAATCCCCTTGGATTACTACTGATCTGAGGGAGCTGATAACAGGTCGAAACAGACTGAAAAGGCCGGCTATATTAACAAAACAGCCATCTATCTGGGATAAATATAGAAAAGAAAGAAATAGAATAAATAATGAGATTAAAATGGCAAAAGCGAATTATCATAAATCAGAAGTGGAACAAAATGTGGGTAACCCGAAGGAAATATGGAGGACAATCAATGAATTAACATATCGTAAGTGCACTAGTAACTCTTCAATAAGTGAACTAAAAAGTGGTGATAATTCCTTCACAAAACCCGCAGAAATGTGTGAGATTTTAAATGACCATTTTACATCTGTCAGTCCAAACCTAGCCTCCACACTGCCTAGTGGAAATACAAGTTTTGACTCTTACATAAAGCCTGTTTCCACGACTTTTAATTTACAACATACCTCTGCCACTGAAGTTTTAAAGTTATTAGGTAAATTATCTCCGAACAAGGCCACTGGCCTTGATAACATCTCATGTCGGCTTCTAAAAGAAGCTGGCCCAATTATTGCCACTTCTTTAACCTGTATCATAAACAAAACCAGGATCTTGTTTACTGTGGGTAATGTCGACCGAAATATCGGTCGATATAGTGGCGGTCGACACTCGGTCGACAGTCAGTCGATATAGCGGTCGAAAGTCGGTCGATAGTGGGTCGACACTCGGTCGAGACACGGCCGATAGTCGTTCCAGATGTGTCTCGGCCGATATAGCTTTTCGTTCACCGACACTTCGCCGACTTTTCGCCGACATTTCGCGGACACTTCCCCGACACTTCGCCGATACTTGGTCGATAGTTGGTCGATACTTGACCGATGTGTCGGTCAGTAATTGGTCGACACTCGGTCGATGGTCGGTCGACACTTAGCATTTCCTACATTTTCCTACATTTTTGCGGGACCACAGGAGCAGCAGATTTAACTTAGGCTGAGACAGGTTCTGTTTAACAGCTAAAACTCGATCGGTGATGATATAAACTGGAAAAAAAAGGTTATCATGTCCTTAGTTCCCAGTGCTCTTCGGTTCTCTTCATAGCGTAATCGCGCCTTGCATTGCCACATGTCCCTCATCGCATGATAACAGTAATTAATGACGTCTTTGCTTAAAAAAAAAGCCATTGGACTCACCTGATAAATTAACACACGACTAATATTCGAACGACAGTTGACCGATATACCACTGACAGTTGACGGATATACCACCAACAGTTCACCGATATACCACCGACAGTTGACTGATATACCACCGACAGTTGACCGATATATCACCAACAGTTGACCGATACATCACCGACATATGACCGATAGTAAGTCGAAGTGCGTCGACGAAATATCGACCGATACTCGGCCGATAGTCTATCTCACTATCGACCGACTATCGACCGACCATCGACCGACTATCGACCGACTATCAACCGACTATCGACTGACTATCGACCGACTGTCGACCGACTATCGACCAACTATTGACTGACTGTCGACCGCTATGTCGACCGATATCTCAGTCGACATTACCCACAGTAAACAAGATCCCAAAACCATAGATACTGGCCTCTTTCCTTCACAGTGGAAAATGGCTAAAGTATTTCCTTTGTATAAAAAGGATGATCGCGCAGATGCACAAAACTATAGACCAATATCTGTCTTGCCAGCCATTTCTAAGATTTGTGAAAGGGTAGTCTACGATCAACTATAGAGGTACTTAAATTCAAATGGCCTGTTGACAAAAAGCCAGTCTGGATTTCATTCCCTTCACTCTACAGTGACAGCGCTGTTACATTTAACAAATAATTGGTATCTTAACATTGACAAAGGCATGACCAATTTGATTTTGCTTCTCGATCTTGCCAAAGCCTTTGACACCGTTTCACATAATATTTTATTAAAAAAGCTTGAGCTCTATGGTCTGAAGGGTGTAACACTCGACTGGTTTTCATCGTACCTATCAAATAGGCAACAGCAGTGTGTAGTAGAGGGCTGTGTGTCTAAGCCCCAGTTGATAAGTTGTGGTGTTCCACAGGGTTCAATTTTAGGCCCTTTGTTGTTTTTAATTTATATCAATGATCTCCCTGGATGTCTTCTCCATACCAAAGCACACATGTATGCCGATGATACCACGATATATGCGTCCTCTGTATCCACTGCTGAACTATATGCCAAGGTAAATAATGACCTAACTCGCGTTAGGGACTGGCTTCTTGCAAATAAGTTAAGCTTAAATGTCACTAAAACGGAGTATATGTTCTTAACAACTACCTTAAAATTATCTAACTTAGGAAGAGACTTTCCAATTAAGATTGGCAACAATCATGTTAAACGAGTCCAAACAACAAAATATTTAGGAATTCACTTAGATGAAAATCTTAAATGGAACGAGCATGTTGACAAACTTTGTTCAAAAGTCAATCGATCCATCAGTGGTCTAAAACAGGCACGTGATTATGTACCATTAGATGTTCTAAATACTATTTACAAATCTCTTATCCAGCCTGTGTTCGACTACTGCGACGTTGTTTGGGACAATTTAGACCAGGGACTTGCCACTAGGATCCAGAAATTATAAAAATCGTGCTGCACGCATAATAACCTTTCAAGGTTATGACGTTCGTTCAGCACAAATACGAAAACAACTAAACTGGGAAGAGCTTGCCTCGAGGCGTCAAAGGCACTTAAGTCTATTAATGTATGATACAGTGAATGGAAATATACCTAGTTACTTAAGCGATCTTTTCTCGAATGTCTGTGAGAACAACCCTTATAAGTCTATGCTAAGAAATGCGGAATATAATGTTGTACTGGACCACGTTCCAAAAACAGAATATTATAAGGGGTCTTTCTCATACAGAGGAGGAATGCTGTGGAATTCTTTACCAAATGACATAAAAGCGTCCGAATCTAAAGCTATCTTTAAAAGAAAACTGGCTAGTAGGCAGGCAAACTGTTGACTGCATTTTACTATATTTTATTATTTGTACATATTTTTAGTGTAGTTGTACAGTATTTACTTCTGTTTCTATACGGCTTTCATGTAAAGAAGTTATGTAACTTATGAAATTACCGTATTCAAATAAAAGTGAATCAATCAATCAATCAATCACCTTTTGTGATCATGTTATGTGACTGTGAGAGTATGGTGTGGCTGACTAGGTCACATATATTAATTCTAAACTAATTTCAACAATACGCATTCATGAATCATGTCCTAGGTCAACATGAAGTGCAGTTTGGAGTGTTTCATGGTAAAACTTTTGTTTGGGTTTTAACCAATGCCCTGGGGTATGCTGGTTTCATAGTGGACAAAATTGTCAATATCGACAAAGAAAAAGAGACATGGGCACCTTTGAGTAAAAACAAATTTCTATTTAAGACATATGTTGAGAAATTTGAACAGGGACTTGAAGCTGTCCAAATGAAACAGAAAGAACGAGAGAAAACTGCCTCCGCAAAGACTGCAGCTGCTGTAACCCAATTACTGAACAAAAATGCCCCATCATCATTAGTAGTAAAAAGAGCTCTGACATCCAAGTCAGTTCGTCCTATTGTACGGGCAAATGTTTCATCTGCAAGAAGCAGTACTGCTACTGCCACAGATAAAAGAACCACTGCTACTGCCACTGCCACGGCAACTGTCATTACCACTACCACTGCCACTACCAATGTCACCGCAACTAAAAGCACCACAGTCACTTCAATGGATACCATGAGCTCTAATTCCTTTCCTGCTCACGAGGAATTAACAGATGCTGAACTGTTGGCGGCTGCTCAACCTATTGTCTTGTCCTATACTGAAGGTGTGCCCCAACTTGATAAAGTATTTCTAATATAATATTTTTATGGGGAGGTCATTATGAGGGTGGCTTTGAGGAAGGATAGACTGATAGACTGACTGACTGACTGACTGACTGAATGAATGAATGAATGAATGAATAAATGAATAAGAAACTCACTAAGTAACTAGCTTACTAACTAACTAAAAAATCATAAATAAATAAATACATACATACATAAGTAATCTGTTAAATAAATAAATATAGCTGAAATATTTTTATCAATTTAATTTTTAATTAATTAATTAAATAAATGATAGCTATAATAGTTATGTGTGTGCTAACAGATAATTATGTATATGAATTTTTTTTGCACCTGCAGAATACCCTTTGCCAGGTAGCTGGTGCAAATACTTGCCAGAGGTTGACCACCAGTGGATATCAAAAGCACTGGTCAAATGGTCTGCAACAGGCAAGCCAGAAATAGCCTACAGTCAGATAAATAAGTTGTGGTGGCATCCTCCTAAACCCCACCTTTCATCTCCCATTCCACCGAAAGTCGACAGATACTTTGGCAATAGACTTTTTCTGTGGCTACCAAAGAAACTTTGGAGATATCGTCTGATATGCCCAAATAGTACCTGCACTAACCACGAGCTGACATCCGCCAGCTTGTACCCAGTCATCCGCCGAGTACTAGATGTGGACAGTGTGTACCACCTGGTGTCTGAGTACCTGGAATGTTCAAGTTGCAGAAAGAAGGTAATTGCATGGAGTGCCCCTGTCCTGTCTCAACTAGACATGGCCCATCGCCTTCAATTTCCTGTAATACTCACATACAAGTATGCGTGTGATGTGCGGGTTATCAGAATGATGCGTTATAGAGGCATTGGTAATGGTTCCCATAAGCTGTACAAGGCGATCGTAGAGCAGCACAACGAGCGCTATTTGCAGCAATCAATTGCATACCTGACCCAGTGCAAGGCCTTTGCAGATGCAGGCGCTAGGGGCCTGGTAAATATACCTACAGTCAGCCAGCCACCCGCTTTGACTTCTGTTCCAAAATTCCAGTGGCTTCAAAGCGTCTATTGCCAGGATGTATTGCAGCGCGTGGACGAAGTCAAGGCTTCGATAACTTCCGTATTTGGCAAAATCCTCAAGATGGATTCTACCAAAAAGGTTAGAGCAATACACTTGTCTGATTTTGTCTGAGTCTACTTTGCTAATAAGGTATAACAATTAGATAATAGACGTAGGAATGTTTGCTAACCAACTGAGAAAAATCATTGGTTGTGACTATTTCAGGTGGCCAAAAAGCTATCTGGTTATGCATCTCGAACAGCCGAGTGGGTGACCAACGTAGGCAACGAACACGGGCAGGTCCTTGTTAGCGTCCTTACTGCCAAGGAAGGATCTGGGCTGAGCAAATTGGCCGGCGGTCTCATGAAGCGGTATAAGGATGCGAGCGTGGATCCTCCGGTCCTTCTCTACGTTGACAGGGACTGCTGCTCCGATAAGAGCAAAGCCTTTTTCGCAGAGTGGGATAATCTACTTATCCGACTCGATATTTATCATTTCATGCGTCGTATAGCCACTGGCTGCTCCACTGAGTCCCATCAGCTACACCAAACATTCATGGCTAGGCTATCACAATGCATTTTCCAATGGGACAGTAACGATCTCAAGCGTCTCAAATTGGCGAAGAAAAGGGAGATGGAGAGCCAAGGCATAAAGGAGCCAAGAGATAGAGATGTTCTCAGTAGAATAAACAGTCGCGAGTTCGCGCTTCACTGCCGCCGCACAACCCGTAGCACCGAGGACATTGTACGTAACATTACAAACCTTATAGAGTTTTTCGATGGTGAGCAGGGTCGTGATACGCTGGGTGTGCCTCTCTTCAATAGCAGGAGGATCTGGGAAGAATGGGAAAAGGCTAGAGAGCACGTCAACTGTATCCTTGACCCACCAGGCGTTCAGCTCTATACGGAGGTTGGCACAATCACCAAGGGGGGTGTTGAACTAAAGGTGTACCGGTGCGCACGCGGCTCAACCTCGCTTGAGTCCTTCCACCTGCACATCAATCACTTTATCCCAGGTAGGTTTCACTATCTATGTAAACGTTTGCAGTAGATTTCTAGAATATTAACATAGGAACATTATTTGATATTAAAAAATGTTAAAGGAATTGCACACGCTTTACCATTGGTCAGTTTCAGTGGAATTCCCGCGTGTTCATAACTCAACAATTAACTGCTCATATTAAATCGTTATTATAATATATTGCCGTATTGAGTTCACTGTTTATATCATGTTACGGGTTCACAGGCAATACAGCAAGCGACCTACACTTTGAAGCCTATCTCCTTGAGGGACTGATGAGGTGGAACCAGGACCGCTCAAGAGCGGCAGTATCCACCGTGAAGAAGCGAGAACCACCTCAGTCCTACTCAGTCCTTCTCCGCTACGTGGCAAACCAGCTGAGTGAGGAAGTGTTTGGGCAGTCTTTAGCACCGAGCTTTAAGGGACCCAATAAATACACTGGTATGTAGATCATCGATTTGTTTGCCTCTTTATACAGTTTATAGTTTGTATGGTTTCTTGATGTTATTGGCTTCTCGATTTCTCTATTGATTAATGTAGGTGAACTACTGGGAGTGGAATATCTATATGATCAAACGGGACAGGTCCTGCAGGTCATACAGGGCGACCCGACTGAGACTGACGACATCGGCGGTGATGCAAATTATGAGGACTCAGATGATGAAGGATTTGATGAGGCCCTTGCCTTTAACGATCCAACAATCGCTCCAACACAGTTTATCATCGACCAGCCAGCCCGTCAATCTACCACAAAACCCCGACAACACGGTAGGCATTTATTGTGTCCCTTTACAAGCAAAAATACCAGGCAGTAAACTTACTACTTATTTTTCCAGATTCTACTACTTAAAGTGCATCCTTCGCCTCTAACATGCCTTCTACAACACCCTTGTCTGCTTCTCGTGTTTCCATGGGGCTGAACACACCATCCAGACAAAGTGGTAAGTGCTTGTTGTAGCAGCAAATTTGTAATTGTGTTGATTGTATATTTTAGTTTTCCTGTACCCTAGACTTGTTCATGGAAGCCCCGTCGACTTCATCTGCTTCCCCGTCTCAACCAGGATCTTCCTGTGATGCCGCTGACGAGATCTCGGATGAATCTCGAGTAAGTACCTACCATACATAATAATAACTGATTAGCCCTTTGAAATTTACCGAAATAAATTTCCTTTTTTACTCTTTTTTTCACACAGGAATGCGTTGGTCCAGACAATATAGAAGGTTTCGGTGAGGTCCACGACTTGGCAAACTATCTTGTCTGTCTTCGTGATCAAGAAAGGCCCCTGGACAACGGCCAAGCAGACACAATTTTAAAACTGTGGGCTGCTTTGTCAGACTATGACAAGAGACCTACCGTATTTTCTCCACGCTTCTCAAGTACATCACCTCGAGGGAGGTTTAAAGCCTCTAAGTCAACCGTTGCCGCTGGAGTTGAAGCTACCCGCCGGTAATCATTATAGATTTACAAATTTGTTGTATTGTTAGAAAGACGTATTACTTCGACAATAATTGCTCTATTACGACCGAAGAATTATGGTTTCACTTTGCTTCAGGTGCTTTCTTGGTCAAAATGCTGGCCCTGCCCAGCGACCTGATTGCAACAGATATATGCAGGCTATCATCGACAAACTTTGTGCTGCCTATCCAGGAAACGTGGTCCAGAATGGGAATAGGGTGTTGCAGTGGACATTGATCTTGAGAGCTTACCAAAACATCAAAACCCTGGTAGTGCAGTGTTCAAAGGTGATGAGCGATACGGCGATCCAGCTGGTTGACATCAATCAGTCTACATTAACACAGTGGTACGTTAACTTAAACAATACGAACAAATATTTCAGTTCTTAGCTCCGCCGCTTATCTGCGCACACATTAAACTCCCACATTAAATCCCATCAGCTACGTATTCTTTAATCTATATTCACCAAATACGCATTAAAATCCACTTTTCTTTGGTTGAAAAGGTTTAAAAAACAATCCAAGGAGACCGAGCGACAAGTTTTGGAACAAGGGATCACTCTCCCAACCCTGTCTATGACAGCACCAGCTCCGTTGCCTGCCGCCATGGCCCGCCCACAAGAACTTCTTACTGGTACAAGTGAAGAGCACCAGTTCCATCTTCTTACAAATGCCGCTGGCGCTGCAAAAACAGCACGCAGACCACGAACTATCCTGCCCAATCAACCCACAACAGTGTTGCCGTCCTTCTCCCTTTCGGCAACGCCCTTTCCCCCTGGTGCAGTGCTATTCTCGCCACAATCAACAACAACACATGTTCCTCAACCCCAAGGTATACCAGCAGCCGAACCACAGGTACCGTCATCCACCATGTCCTACAGAAGAAAGCGGCTGCAAAAAGAGCTTGAAAAAAAAAAGAGTGCTAATCGTATGGCCCCCAAACAAATATAGCAACACGCAATAACATATGTATTAAGGCGTTTCTTGAAACGTCCGTTTACAGCATAGTTAAGTTATTATTCACTTCCACCGGAAGTTTTACTTACGCACACAACGTGTTATATATGCTGTTCTTTGCTAGTTGTATTCATTCCCTGAAGAAGTCTCAGTAAGAGACGAAACGCGTCGGAAATAAACGAAAAAGCTTACAACTACAAGAAGTCTTCCTTTGTGCTGCTCACTAGTCTTCGTTAAAAAAAAAAAAGTTAAAAAATTAAAAAATTAAAAAAAAAAAAACAACATACTGCCCATTATTTGACAGATTGTCAGACATTCGTGGAGGCTAGCAAACGACAACTGGTTCTGGCCCCAAAGTTTGATGAGGCACCAATCTCTTCCTACCCTTCCAAAAGCAGGCTGGCTTGTTACAGTTTACTGCAGGGATGTGCTGTCACAGGTTGAGGAAGTGAAGGCTTATATCACATCAACATTTGGCAGCGTACTAAAGATTGATTCCACAAAGAAGGTAAAATAATTATTATAAACAGGTAAATTTTATATCAATAGTAATCATTATATCTCAGACAAGCTTCCTTTGGTCACTTAATTATCATTTATATGTTTATATCTTTTTAGCTTCTGTAAGTCGTGAACCTCCATCTGTTATTGAAGAACATCCACATCGTGTGAGGTCTGCACATGCGTCTAATCACAGCCAAGGTCTGTGGTTTTATTATTGAATTTTACTCACAATTTTTATTATCATTTGATTCAAATCTACCAATCAGCGTATCGCAACCATTAGCAGTTCAAAACCACAACCCTGCCCTGCACAGGGATTTTTGTTTGGTCGCAATACGCTGATTGGTGGATTTGAACCGAAGCGCATACCTCAAATGCCTTTGGTTGAGATTTTTGCACCGGTGATGTTGAGAAAGCTGGCCTTGCAACTTCAGGATCGCTTTTCTGGAGAAATTTTGGAAGGATTGAGCTCTCATTCAGATGGAGCATGGATACATATCTAATGGATAGGGAGCTGGTATTTTCGAGGTAAGAAATTAAAAGGTTGGCATTTGTTCCAGCGTAAATTAGACTGGGTCACGTGCCGGCGGCTGATTGCTGCCTGCCTTGTCTCCTTCTTTAGTTCTAACCTCCGAGGTCAAATATTCATCTCGCAAAATAGCACTTAAAACAGCACGGGACGGCGAAAAAAACATGACACATGACTCAGTTAACATTTTCTTCAAACTGTTATTGAAAAATTTGCTTTAAATTCTGCATTTTGGAACAAATTATAGCCATCGTATTGTTCATATGTATTTGTTCTGTAAATAACAAAAGATCGTTGCTCAGATTTCAATCAACAACAGCCCCCACTAACAGAGGGTGGTCTGCCTGTGCTGGACCTTGTAATTTGCTGAAGTGCTTTCCAAAATGGCGGGCATGTGACTCTATTTTCACTTTTGAACGAAATGGGACCATTTTTTGGAGGATTTCCTCTGTAGGTACGTGCAAAACTATCTGCTTTTACCTGTTATTTACAATGAAACCAGAAAAATACAACTTTTTCTAAATGCAGAAAGTATTCGAGACAAGGAACGTGACTTGCTTCGAACCTGTTGGTTTATGCGGACGACTCCCTTCTACCGCAATGACACAACCTCGCAGCTTGAGCACTCAAAATAGGCTGACCTTTCGCGTTTTAGTCAGTAAAGACGTTGATTGATCACCTTAAATGAAAAAGTTGTGTGAGCAGTGCACTCAATACAGGCGCAGATCTAGTATAAATGCATGCTGACCGTTTTCCTCTTTTCAAACAGTTGTAAAAGCTTCTCAAACTAGCCCCATGACCTTATGACCTGCTGTTTTTTCCAATTTATTCCAAAACCTCTTCTGCAGTGGCACTGTTGCTTTCTGTGGTATTTAAGTCCAGTAAGGGCAATATAAATTACATTAGTTTTAGAATTTTGAAGTTGTGAATATTTCTTTATACATGTAGGCCATACTTTTGCAGTGATGTGAACGGAAGATTTATCTTTTAAAGTGACACAAAAAAAATTGTTTTCTTGTGATGTTCAAGTGGTCAAAGAGTTATCTTCTAACCCATCCTCTAAGTGGGAAAATGCTGTTTTATAGTTGATTTTTGTTAAGCATTCTGTTGCTGCTGAGTTTATTTTTCCGTGGGATGCCTGTGGCACTTCCACGGTTGTACCCAAAATTGCAAAGCCAACCAATAGGATTGCCTAAAATCTTTATCGATTATCTCTTCTTCCAAGCCGACCAGTCAGATTGTACAAAACTCTGTATCAATTTTTAATCGATTTGCTTCCTGGTGAACAATGCGATGCGTTTTGTTTGGCTGCCAAATTTGTCGCGCTTGAGTTTTCCCACTCGTGGGTTAGGATGGCTTGTTAACCAGCGAAATCCTTCGGGATAGTGGCAAGTCACGAAAAGGCGACCTAAGCCAAATTATTTCTTTCCTTCATGATTCTTTTTTGTTTAGGTCTAGCTTTTTCATAAGGTTTTAGTAGTGTCTGGTTGCGGGCCGTGATTTCCGATAGATTTTTCTATTCGGAGTTCGCCAGTTTTTGCCGAGCACAGCTAGAGTTCAGTTATTTTCTTTTCTTATCGAAAACACCTTGACGATGGGAGGTTAAATCGCGTAAATTTCATCTCGCACCCTTGACGACTGGCGGTGAAATCACGAAAATATTGTCCTTGTCGAATCATCGACGACTCGCTTTCCGCGTGGATTGGACTTCTGGATGGGACACGGATCAGGACCTTAGTAAACTTATTATACCTTGGAATCAGGGAAAATCATTGGAACTATGTTAACTTTGATACCTTGGAAACACATTGCAATTAATTTTTAACTGTATCAAGAGCATCTTGGAATATGAAACTTTCATCTTGGATTAAAACATTGGAACTTTATCGAACTTTGTAACCCTGGATTCGAACCTGGATAAAGCAAGCGGATGTTTTGTTTTGTTTTGTTCCATTAACCTAAAACTACAATGTTCATTTCTCTTTGAAAAAGTTCCCTGTGGCTACTTACTACCAAGATATGACGTATCTTTATACATATAGTTCCTGTTCAGGTTAATCAGAGAGCATTTTCCGCATGTTCTCCATTACCTGTTTCCGTTAACATTCCAATTTAAGTTACACGGGAAAACCTTGTTTTGATGCAAAATAACTTCTTTCTCTTATCCAAATCGTGCTATGAAAATAACTACATATCGATAGATCAAAACAAGATCAACTCCATCCTGCAACCAGTGACAACTATAAATTTAGCTTGTGTAGAAGGTGTCGAAAGGGGTAGGGGATAGGGAGGAAGCAAAAAGGGGATGTGGATTGGGGAGAAATATTAGCCTGTCACGCAGGCGACTATAAATTCAGTCATAAGCACATTAAACCAGCCCATACAGGTAAGCTACTCATCGATGGTCATAACATGACACATCTTTCCGGTTTCCCTAATTTTTCCAAATTCAGATGGAACACCATTATTCTTCCATAGACCAACCCATCCCACGGAAACGACTCTAGGCGTCTTGTGTGAATTTAATACTGCTTTTTTCATATTTTTTTCTCAGCATAGATTTCCATTTTAGCCATTTTCAAGGAAATATAAATTGTTTTTGCATTGCCCTTAAGGGTTGGGCTTTTTCCATATATTTTAAACCCCAGGATGGGTATTAATCTTTTGCCACCACTGAGCATTTCAGCTTTCCAAGGAATATATAAGGAATACCTGGGGATCGATTATGTTATGTACTGGGCAAATTTCAGGTTAATTTTGATTTAACCTCGGTTGATTCTCAATTTGATTTGTTTCCTGTCCCTTTAGAGAAGACAAACAAATTTGACCGATGGATGATTATGGAAATTTGACAACTGTTTCTGTGTTGATGTTAGTGTTCATTTTTCAAGTTAAACTTACTTGAACGTGCCTCCATAAACATTTTTTAGAGGAAAGGATTGTTCTTATTGTCATCAATGCTTTCAAAGAAAGAGATTGTGAGTTTGGGGTTGATCAAAGCTAAAAAATATTAATCAGTCTTGACTAAAGACATTTGATGTTTTGAGTCTTGCTTTCTCTTAAAATAAACTTGTTTCAGTGGTACGTAAAATGTGTATGATAAATCAGGGAAAGGTTACCGCTGCTAATAAAGTCGTCTGACGTACTTTTTGGTAAATATTCTGGAAACTGAAGTTGTTTTGATCAAACTACATAAATGTTGTGGCATAGCTAAGGTTTCCTGTAAAAGGGGGCAATTTGCTTCTCAGTAATAAGCAAATTACATCCTTTTGCCTCAATTTCAGCCTATATTTTAACCATGACGTATGGTATTTGTTTAAGGTAGATTTTTTACAGTTAGTCTGTTTGATTTAATACTGTCAATCCTTCTATTATCTATTTGTAGTTACTCCCTCTACTGGTCCCAGTTCGACCATGACAGCTGCACCCCCTATATCAGATACTCCAGAGGTTAGATATATAAAATTATTTATTATTAGAATTTATATTGTTATTGGTTCTAAAGGTTATATCTGGTTGAACTAAGTCGTACACAACTGTTTGATACTATCATTTTTCTTTTACATCTACCCTTTTTACAGAAAATTGCTCTTCCCAAAGCTTGGCAAGAGACCTTACCAATTGAGCAACAACGTTGGATGAGCAAAGCACTGTACCAGTTCAACCCTTCGACTGGCAAGTCCGAGATAAAGAAAGATCTCAGGATGTGGTGGTTCCCACCAGAGCCTGTCCATATCTGCAACCACCCACCAGGTTCACCTGACACTTACTTTTTAGAACCCTTTTTTCTCTGGGCACCACAGAGAATTTGGGGCCTTGATCTGCACTGCACCGAGGAGTGTAAAGCAAATCAAGCTAAACAGAATGTGAAGGTACAATTACATACAAGACTTGGGTTTTTCAAAGTAATCTTTATTTGTATTAACATTTGTTACTCATATTTATATACAGTTTTAAATGATATTTTTAGTATAATATTATTGTCTTGTCCTTTACTAATACAAATGTAAATATTACCTGGTGCGGACATGAATAAAGCTTTCATTTATGCATTGGGGATAGCATTGTAATGTTCAGTAATACATCTTTACTCTTCCTAATCATGCATATTACACTTTTTTTCCAATTAAGTATCATTTTTTTCAGCTGTCCCTTACACAATCAGGGTTATACAAAACAGTATGGAGAGTGTTGGACATCGACCGATGGTACTTCATGAGTACAGATTACCTAGAATGTAAGTTTTGCAAAAAAAATTTGCTGCCTGGTCCAGTGTGGTACTTGGTCAACTGTGCCTGGGCCATCGGAGCTACTTTCCAGCACACCAGTACCTCGACCTGACTACTCTTGGTTCCTACTCACATACAGGTACCAGTAAAACACAAAGTTGTTAATTTATTATAACAATTCAGATCACCAGCAATAAGGTGAGATGACATGAAAAAAAATCCCACTTGCCTTTTGCTCGAAAATGACAATACCAAATTCATTTATGCATTATTTAATAATGGCTTAATCAAATGACTTGTCCAGAAATTTGTTTTCCTATTTTTTTGTATTCAGATACTCTTGTGATTTGCGAGTTGTTGGCCTGTTAAGACAGAGGACCCTCGGGAACTCTTCCACTAACGTATGTAATCAAGTCGGGGAGCAGCATAGTGAATTTTACATGAAAAGGCTGTTGAGGTTTTTATAAACTAGGGAGTCATTCCATGTCAAAGTTGCAAGTGGCTTATCCACTATTGCTGCTCCCAACAAAGAATTACCACCAATCACACCGGTGCCTAAAGGACCTTGGTTTCTTGCCTTTTATGTGAGGGATGTCTTGAGCAGGCTAGACGAAGCTACCTTTGGCTCAGTTCTTAAAATGGACTCAGCAAAGACGGTAAAGCTTCATGAGAATTTTTTCATTTTTCAATTGTAAATAATTATTATTATAGTGGACTCCTCTTATAAAACAGTGAAATTTGATGGGGAGGGTACTAGTAACTTGGAACCTAAAACTATGTCAGCACAGTAATTAAAGTTTGTTGATTAAGTAATAAAAACCTTGCAGAGAGAAAGAATATTAAATGGAATAATGACTATTAAATAATATTTTTTGGAAATGCATGTACACTGTACTGTATCTACACTAGCATATTTTGGGCACTTTCATTTTCTGTGTATGCATTGCAGTGTTATATTTATCAAAATGTTTTAAGAATCGTTCTTCTTGCACAATTTTGCAGGTCACTAAAAAGCTTGGAGGAAATACTGCTGGGACAGCTTCTTGGGCCAGAAATGTGGGCAATGAGCATGGTCACGTACTTTCATCTGTCTTGACAGATTGGGAAGGTGATGGTCTTGGCGACATGGTGACTGGCTTGGTAGAGAGATACAGGAAGTCCAATGTACCTCCACCAAAACTTCTGTATGTGGATCGAGATTGCTGTTCTACAAAGTTAAAGAGCCATTTCCATGAGTTGAGCAATCTGGTCATACGTCTCGATGTATGGCATTTTATGAGACGGTTTGCTGCTGGTTGCTGTTCAGAATCCCATGCCCTGTATGCTACCTTTATGTCTCGACTATCTGCATGTGTGTTTGAGTGGGATACCAAAGACCTTCAAAGATTATATGCAGCCAAAAGGGGTCAACTCTCTGCCAGGGGGGTGTGGAGAAAACGGAAAGAAGATGTTGCTATGCATATAACCAAGGAAGAATTGGCCTTTCACTCCAAACGACGCATACGGGGAGTGGAGGAAACAACTCGTCTCATCGAAGATCTAATTGACTCGTTTTCTTCTGACGAAGGGAAGGATACCATGAGTATACCTCTGCTGAACAAAACATCAATCCAGCAGATATGGTAGGCGCAGAAACAGCACATTTTGTGCATACAGGACGTAGATGACCCTTCCATTCAAGTGTACACCCAGACTGGTACATTAAAGAAGGGTGGTGTTGAGCTCCCCATCTACAGGTGGCCCGAGGGTCAACATCATTGGAGTCATTCCATTAACACATTGATCGCTTCATTTCAGGTAAAAAACACACAAAATCCTTTACTTATAAAACAATAATGTCCTCATCCTCCTTAAGGATCACCTATGTTAACAAAAAATGTTGACTTAAGAGATATGAAGAGATGTGTAAGGTACATTCCAACTACTATCTGTGTTTCTGAAAAGATTGTACTGAAACAGATAGTTGTGTTATTTAATGGTCTAAGACCATCTTATAAAATGGTAACATCTTTCTTCTGGCACTCCATTTAAATACTTAAATTTTTTACCTGTAGGTACAACAGCCAATGATATCCACTTCCAGTGCTATCTACTTGAGGGCATTGTACGCTGGAATGAAGACAGGGCTTCGGCGGCCATGATAGATGGGGGTGAAAATTCACCAACAAGCAGCTACTCTTCCTCCCTAAAGTACGAAATCAACCGCTTGACTAAAATGGTGTATGGTGAAGAGCAGTAAAAGAACTTTGACCATCCTGGCAAGTACACAGGTAATGTGGGTTAACTGTTTATCTTAATCATGTTTTGCATGGAGTTTGGTAGCAGATAAATACATGTAGTGCTGTGTCTACTAAGTGTATCTCATGTATGAGCAATCTATAGGCCGCTGATTTCCACCTTCATTTGGAAGGTTGCAGTTCCTAATAACCTCATAAAACTCAAATACCGATTTGAATTGTTCTTGTTATTAGCAAATTAGGTGAGAAAATGGGGGTAGAATATCTTTACAGCCAGACAGGGAAGACTTGGTCTTCAGATGTCAGTCGTCTTGATCCAGATGAACCTGATGAACTGACTGATGAGTTGACTGATGACTCCCTAGATGAAGGTTTTGCAGAGAGTGAAGAGGTGGATCCCACTGTTAGTGACCTACATGTAGAGCCATCTCCTACAGATCAGCAACCCTCAAGTGCAACCACTGGAATTTTACACAATTGAAATTAATGCTAATCTGTGATTATTTGAGTTACAAGACAGTCTTTCCCTTGAAATCTTTGTTTTAGTTCGGGCATTTTATATATTGTTTTGGTTCTTCTTCTTTCCAGCTCAGTCATCAAGCCAAGAAGACAGCTCCACTAGAAATGAAGAACCACCAACAACTGATGTACACGTTCCTTCCGATTCTGATGACAGTTCTGATACTGAGTTGCAGGTAAGAATACATGTTGTATGAGTCAGAAATTATTTTTAGCCTGGCCAATAGTGACTTAATTATATCTACAAAATCATTCTTGCCCCCGCAGGGATTTCGCCTCTGGGCGAAATCCCGAGGAGGCACCCTAGTAACTCGCGCGTATATTAAGGACAGTACTTACAGTTCAAATATACAGTCGGTATAGTAGAAAAAATCTCGATTTGCTCGAACAGGGGCCGCGAGGAATCGGTAGGTAATGATGACGTTTCTATTGTTTGCGCCCGCAAGTACGAAATGGTTAGGATGATGTAAAGACAGAAAATCCCGAAGGGACCGCTCAGGTAGATTTTGTGACATTTATTGTGCAGTCATACTTCGATACTCTTTTGCGTTACGCAGTGACATTCTGTGGAGCAGTTGTTTTGAAAGTTATGGACCAAAAGACACTCGTTAAGCGCAGATGAGGTTATAAGGTGCGTTTAACTGTGTATATATAAACACTTGGAGAGTTTGCCAGACACGAGTTCACAAATCTTTGATTTATATTGGAAACCTTGCCAGACACTCTTTCTCTCTCTTTGACCGGAATAAGACTCAGCCCCAAACAAGCAAGACGAGTGAACAACGGCTAGCTTATCACTAGCAGATTGATGGACAATTACAGAATTTTGCCGACAATCAAATTATGTGCTGACTTTTTCCCTGTTGACAGATGTCCTTCCGTTATGAAGTTCCAAAAAAAACTAGAATGCGCGAGCGTGAATCGATCAAACGTCCTTTCAATTTCTAATGCTTACTTTCCAGCAAATAAAATGAACTGAATGTAAAAAGTGAAAGAGAAATAGCGAAAAATTCAACTTGTGCGTAAATCTTTTCTTATGGTTTAGAATAAACTGTTCTCGAAACTGAGAATGTTTTGATCAAAGCTGTGTAAATCGAGCTGAAACTGTGCATGGTACCTTGTGTTTCCTGTATTTATCTCACCTATTGTATGGAATATGTGTGAAAATCTTCATTATGAATCGGTATATTTCAAAGAGCTACACAACCCGCATATACAGAACGGGGCAGCTGTAGTGTCAACTATTACTAGTTATAGCTTCTGTGTTTTCTAATCTCTGCTGTTTGCTGTAGGAGACAGTTGGTCCTCTTGGGATTCTTGGTTGGGAGCAGATCCAGCAGCTTGCCAATGCACTCTTTGATCTACGGGATTGCACTGCCCTAACAGAAGCCCAAGTGATCCACCTGATAAGGGTGTAGAGTTTACTCCCTACTGCGCTCAAGGAGGCAAAAGCCATGTACCCTCCTCGTTACCTGCCGTAGATTCATGCAGAAGAAAGCAAGTGCAACTCATACGCAGACAGTGACGCCCGGAACAGTCAGTCTTAGAAGGTGAACATGGTGGATAGTTTTCAACTTCTAACAAATGATTTAAAGGGAAAAATATTAACACTGAAAATAAACAATTCAGATTTCTCAAAGAGTTTTTTTTCATATCTATAAATACAGGACAGAGGGAAATACTTTTAGTCAAATTTGCGCTGAGACTTTTTTGTATCATTACTATACTTTTTGGGAGGGGATAAGGCTAGAATAGGGGGCATGGAGCTGTGAGTAACTTGTCAACTAAAACGCGTAATATTGCCCACACTACATGTAGCTAGCTCATTGCTAAAAGTAAAAATCACCTTCTCTTTCCATTTTATAGCCCTCTCTT